TTATTATTTATTTATCTTAAACCCTCAGCAGAGGATACTTTTTCCATTGATTTTTTTTTTCTTTTTTAGAGAGAGTGGAGAGGAGGGGGAGCAGGGTCGGGGGAGACACACATTTATGTGAGAGAGTCACATCAATTGGTTGCCTCCTGCACATGCTCCGACAGAGGCTACAGATCAAGCCTGTAACCGAGGTAGATGCCCTTGACTGGGAATTGAGCCCAAGACCCACGACACTAACCACAGAGTAAACTGGCCAGGGCGGCATTATCCCTCTTTTACAACCGAGGGCATGTGAGGATAAGAGGGAGGGTGTCACTTGGCTAAAGTCACAGAGCTAGTAAATGGCAAATCCAGAATTCAGTACAGGCACTTTGGCTCCAGACTCTTAATTTCACTTTTCTGATGATGGCCAGTAACTAACACTTATTGGGCACTTACTATGTAGCAGGGATCATCGTAAGCATTTTATACAGATTCATTCATTTAATCATTACAGGCATTCTTTATAATAGTCACTTAAATGGAAGAGGAGGATACTCAGGCACAGGGAGTGTGCAAACCTGTCCTAAATCTACTGCCAGGAGTCCACTCCAGGTGGCATGAGAGCCAGGACTCATTAAAAAAAAATAAACAAAAATGTTTTTTCTTTAAAAAATTAAAGTATAACATACAGAAAAGTGCAGAAATAAGTAATATTTAGCTTAATGAATGTTCACTGAGTGAATATGCTATGTAACTAAATACTAAACATTATCTGTACCCCATAAGACCCTTTTCAGTAATGAATCCCACCCTTTTCTTCAAGAGTAACCTTTATACTGATTTCTAAAATCATAAATTAGTTTTGCCTGTTTTTAAGCACACACACACATTTCTATTGGGTGTTTACCTGGGGGTGGAATTGTTGGTTATTTCCAAGTAGTTGTACAAATTTTCTGTATGATAGTCTCCTTACTCCACATCTTGGTTTTGGGCCTGGGACCATGCAGAAGGACTCCAGAAGACCTAGATTCTTAAACTGCCCAAGCTGGAAGGATCTTCACAAGTCACTGAGTGCCCCTCCCCTATTTTACAGATGGTAAGACGGAAGCTCAGGGAGGGGAAGTGGCCACAAAGCTGGCAAGGAGCATAGCTGTCAGGACTGGAGATATGAAACTGGATCCTGGCCAACCCAACTGCAGATGGGCTCTCCTCTCCCCACCCTTCCCCGGCCTGGGTGTCCACTTCTTGAGCTGAATATCCTAAGGCAATGGTCAGCAAACCCTGAGTGTGGCTCTTGAGTGTGGCTCTTCCACAAAATACCACGTGCGGGTGTGCATGTACAGTATGACTGAAACTTCATGGCCCATGCGCAGAAGTCAGTTTTCAGCCTGGGCGAGTCTATTTTGAAGAAGTGGCGTTAGCACGCTATGGGTCACTGTGGAAATCCTCACTCTCCTGATATGGCCTCTCCAAGAGTGGGGCCCTGCTGGCCAAGGAGGCAGCCGTACTAATGTGTCACTGTCCAGCCCACACACCTGGGGTCACTGTGGAGGATGCCATGCCTGGGGCCTATACATCAGCTGACACGGAGGGAAGCTGAGGTCCCTACTCAATATGGGCTCAGGGGGCAGTCTAGGGAAGCCAGGGAGGGGCTGGGAGCCAAAGTTATGGGGAGGCCTGGGACCCAGTCCTCACGCTAATGCTACCTCTGCTCTGATCCCCCACAGCCAGCTTGCACTCTGTACCATAGTCTTTCATCCTTGGCATTTATTTGGAATGCTAAGACAGTTATTTTGGAAGGAAGTAAAACATAGAGGTTAATCATACAGAATCTCTGCTCTTCTACTTACTTGCTGTGTGACCTTGAATTAACTTACATACCTCTCTGTGTCTCAGTTTCTCTAGCTTAAAAAGCACTTACTCCACGAGGTGGTTGTGAAGTACCCATGAGTGAAGCACTCAGATCATGTCCAGCATATGCACCTTGAACCTAGGTCCTGTGACTCCGAATCCCATGATCATTGTACACATCTCCCAGACACCTGCAGGCCTGGGGGGTGGGGGGTAGAGAGAGGGGACAGTAAACCAGTCCTCCAGGAGCTTTCAGTCCAGTGGGGGAGACACAAGTCCTGCTACCAAGGGATCTCCAGCCCGTGTAGAAGTTGGAGTTTCCAGAAGAGAGGGTTAGGAGGGAATAAACACTCAGTGCCTACTGTGTGCTGGGTACTTTGCACAGGCCACTATTTCTCTCCCCTCTTCACCCTTCTTTCTTTCTTATTGCAAAGTCCCATCTTCCAGGTTAGGACTGTGATGCTCAGAAAGTTTAAGAAACTTGTTTTAGGTTCCCCAGTGAGTCCAGTGGCAAAGCTGGGATTAGAATCCAGGTCACCTTATGCTAACATGGAAGACCATGTAACCTTGGCTCAAGTTCACCTCTTCCATGAAGTCTTTTCATGTCCTGGATGTAGAACTAACCACTTGTGCCTCTGGGTCCCCATCGTGCCCCATGGCACCTGTATACTTTTCAGGCTTACTTTATTTATATACCTGTCTCCCTTCGTTAGGCAGTGAGCTCCTTGAGAGCAAATAGTGATCTCGGCCATCTCTGAATCCCCTGTACATCCTGAATATAGCACAGAATTCGTGCACAATAGCTGTTTTATAAATATGTGCTGCATTAATGATGAGAGGTGTTTGGAAGGTCTCATGCCCATTTTCCTGCCTCCTTAGAATTACCCAAGTGATAGGGGGGCATCAGAGGATGGAAGGAGGGGTGGTGCTGGGGTCTCTAGAGGCGTGAACATCTGTCTCACTGAAACCTTTCCAGTTCCCCACACTCGTCTAGACTCATGCTTCATCCCCAGGCATTTGCCCTGGCTCACTCCAGTCTCTCCTGCACGCCTTCCTCCATGTTCTGCAACACTGTCTTTCCCAGCACCTTTGCTGTTTAGAGGACAAGTCTGGCACTGAGATCAGAACCATCCCTTCCGGTCACATTTTATTCTCATAAGAGCTTAAGAGGTAGGATAAGTGGAAGTGGCCTATCTTCATTTTACCTGTAAAACTTTCCAGCTTCACAAGGCTTCTGTCCAAGTTCATACAATACGTTGATGGCAGAACTGGGCAGAACTGGGCCCAGTATAATGTAGGAAGGGAACAGGGCTTAGGGCAGTTTTCTGAGTCAGGGACAGGCTGGGCTTCCCCCCAGGACTTGAGGGCCCTGGCTCTGGGACACAAGTTGGTCTGTGAAATGGCATGGAGAGAATCCTAGAACCTTCTTTAAGAAATATATTTTTATTGACTTCAGAGTGGAAGGGAGAGGTAGAAACATCAGTGATGAGAGAGAATCATTGATCGGCTGCCTCCTGCACACCCCCAACTGGGGATTCAGCCTGCAAACCAGGCCTGTGCCTTTGACCGAAATTAAACCTGGAACACTTCAATCCATAGACTGACGCTCTATCCACTGAGCCAAACCAGTTAGGGCTTTTTAAAATTATTTAAAAATTTTTATTTTTCAGTTACAATTGAGAATCCTAGACTCTTGTCCCTGGCCAGAACTTGCCAGGCCTTCTGCAGTCTTGCCAGTAGGTGTCATCAGTTTGCAATTTTTGGTTCTGTCCCTCCAGTTCCAGCTTCCTCCTATCACCTGTGCAGTCTGCACTTGCACAAAGTAGGAGAGGGTGCAATCCCTGTGAGACTGAATCACCCCTGTTCTGGGAAAGGAAGCAGGAAGAGGGTCTTTGATTTGCACAGGCACTATTTCTCTCCCCTCTTCACCCTTCTTTCTTTCTTATTGCAAAGTCCCATCTTCCAGGTTAGGACTGTGATGCTCAGAAAGTTTAAGAAACTTGTTTTAGGTTCCCAGTGAGCTTGGGTGCCCTGCAGCTTTCACCTTGGCTGCGCTGCAGCTTTCTAAGCAAAGAAAAAATAAAATCCACAGTAGGTCACCAATTCTGCCTGGACAGAAGCCAGCTCCAGGAGAGCAGAAGTGTTTTGTTTGGGGGGGGGGGGGGGGGGGGAAGCACTAGGGGACCTGAGAGAGAACCTGGGAGATGGGTACCTGCTCCAAATGTTACCCAGGTGGACCTCCCAATCAGCAGGATTGAGGCAAGGGTGAAGGACACAGGCATCAACAGGATCTCACAAAGGGCCTAGCCAACCCCAACTAGCAACACTGGAATGAGAAAAACCCTATACAAGTCTACAAAGACTACAGGGAAATGGTGCCCTCTAGAGTTGTGCATTGCACAATTTGTATGCACACAGAGTGGCAATCTCCCAAGCCACTCCGCCCCCTTTCCCCCCCAGGAGTGGGTCTGGGCAGTAAAAGAAAATATCGGGGGGGGGGGGGGGGAGGAGAGGAAGAGGCTGCGCGCCTCCCTCCCCAGTTCAGTAATTCCACTGGGGAAGGCAGAGGGGACCAGGGCCCACATGAACCTTGGGAGACTGGGAGAGGAAGGGGGTTGGAAGGAGAAAGTATGAAGAGAGTCTTAGTGCCATGAGGCCCTTCTGGGCCCCTCGTTGTGTACCTGTACTTCTCCCCCCACCTCACCCGACTGGTTGAGACTGGAAGCACTGGGGTAGGGTGGAAAGGACTGGCCAGGGAGACTGAATCCGCGGAGCCCACCCGGAGTCGGAGTCCAAGGTTGTGCTCTCAGTGGGGGGTCTGGGGCCACCTTTGCGGATCGGGATGAAGCCTCCAAGGTTGGGGGAGGGGGCCACGGAGTAGCCTCTTCGCTTCTCCAACTCCCTCCCCTCCCCTCGGGCTCTGGCTCTGCAGCGCTCGGCGGCGCCTATCAGGGCTTGCAAACTGCGCTGCTTCCTTCTTGGGCAGAAAAGGACTTTCAGCTGCAGCCGAGGAGAGCGCCCCCTCCCCCTAACGGCTGCGTCTCCCGCTCCCCCTCTCCCTCCCTCCCTCCCTCCCTCGCCCGATCCCCCACCTCTGGGCAGGCGCTGGGGGTGTGGCCAGAGGCTGCTATAAAGTCCGGGGTAGCCGTCCCGGGCCGCCGCTCTGTCCCTTCCCCCCGCCTTCTGGACCCGGCCGAGGATGCGGCGCAGCGCCTCGGTGGCCAGAATCGCTGCTCTCCAGCCCGCTTGCTAACTTCCCTGCCTCCTTCTCTGTCCGCTGGGCTAGCGGGCCGCCCCGTCTCCCCCACTCTCCCGATCCGGTCCTCCAGGCGCGCCGGGCGCTGCTTCCGTGTGCCTCCCGCTGCCAGCCCGCGCTCCCCGCCCGCACCTGGCGCCAGCGCCCCGTCCTCGCCCGATCATGCTGCCCCTCTGCCTCGTGGCCGCGCTGCTGCTGGCCGCCTGGCCCGGGCCGAGCCTGGGAGACGAAGCCATCCACTGCCCGGCCTGCTCCGAGGAGAAGCTGGCTCGCTGCCGCCCCCCCGTGGGCTGCGAGGAGCTGGTGCGGGAGCCTGGCTGCGGCTGCTGTGCCACTTGCGCCCTGGGCAAGGGGATGCCCTGCGGGGTGTACACCCCCCGCTGCGGCTCCGGCCTGCGCTGCTACCCTCCCCGGGGAGTGGAGAAGCCCCTGCACACACTGATGCACGGGCAAGGCGTGTGCATGGAACTGGCGGAGATCGAGGCCATCCAGGAAAGCGTGCAGCCCACCGGTAAGGTGCCTCTGCCCTTGCACGTCCTCCCTGGCGTGCGGCCCTCCCCTTTCCCCGTAGGCCTGGCCCGGGAGGCCCTTGAAAGTCCCCTGTGAGTTGAGGAGTAGGCAGGTACGTGGCAGGGCCCTCCTGGCATGGGACAGGCTCAGCCAAGCCAAGTGCTGCTCAGTCTCTAACAGCCTGTTGCCACGGTCAAGGAGGACTCCCTCTCATCCCTCCATCTCACACCTCCCCGGGATGCCTACTTGGGAAGAGTGGTCTTGGCTGCTGGTGCAAGAGTGGAAAATTAAGTGACCCGGGACAGCCCACAGCCTGCAAGTGAGCCAGATAACTGGAGGATGGGGGAGGGGCAGGAGGGAGAGGGAGGAGGAGAGCTTCCCATTGCTGATCCCCTCACCACAGGTGAGAACCCCAGGGCTCTGAAAAGCCAGAGCTTGGACTTGTCAGAGTGAGGTGGGAGGACTGGGGCATGCATCTGAGAAGGGCTTTGGGGGTGAGGGGCAGCAGAGATGCCCTTCCCCAAAGCCCCAGGCCAGCTCACCTAGCCGTTTGGGGGGTACTGGGAAGACAGGGGTCTCTCTACCGGACCTGGGCACCTCCGCTTGTCCTGGTACACAGGCCTCCCTCTTTTTTCTCTTGGCAGGTGCCATTTGAGGTGGCAGAAAGAAGCAAGTCTGGGCTCCCAGCCCAGAGCTGCAGAAACCTAACGGGTGTGGGCTAGAGAGTAAAGAAGAGAGAGAGAGGGGGACAGACTTAGGAGGCCCTTTGCCTTAAACTCTTTCTTATCCTTCTCTTTTCCATTTCTCAGTGAGCCTCTCAGTTGCTCCTTCTAATCTTTCTCAGTCTCTTGCCTCCTGTCTCTGTTCTTTCCTGCTGTGTCTTTCAGCCTCTCATTTCACAAGCAACGTTCTGGAGTCCTCCTTTCCCCAGTACCTTCTGCCCACCAGCAGTTTCTTTCTCTTTCTCTGTCTTATTACCCTTTTCTGTTTCTGCTGCCCTCTGCTTCTCTCACTCTCATCTCTGTCTCTTTCTGTGTTGCTGTTTCTCCTTCTTTGTTCCCGTCTTTCTGTTAACTTTTGGAAAATCAATCTCCCCCCGCCCCCTCTCTCCCTGCTTTCCTTGTGTCCGCTTTTGTCCCTTGTTCCCTCTCTGACTGTTTTGCTCTCCCTGTGCGCCTCTGTCTGTCTGTCTCTTTTCCTGGTCTTTGAAGCTTTCATTGTTATAGTCCGGATGCTGGGACTCTGGCCCAAGCTTCCTGCCTGGGTCCCAGACCGCCCCACTTCCTCAATCCTCTGCAGCTCCTTAGCTGGAGGAGAGCAGGATGCAGGGAAAACAGGAAGGAGGTGGACCCCAGGGGTCTGGGCTTCAGGCCTCGCTGCCCTTCCTTCCCTGGGCAACAAGAGATGGGTCAGCAGAAAACATTCTGGGAGAAATGCCAGCCTGGCACCCAGCACATCTGGGGAGGGGGGCAGCCCTCGGGGAATAGGCCGCTGAGCATGGGGGCAGAGATGCTGGTGCCAGCGGGAGAGGAGGGGTACTGGTACCAGACCTAGTCCCAAGGCTAGGGGACCTCAGGCTTGGGGACCTAAGCCTCTTCTCTCTGCCTTTTCCTCCTCTGGCTGAGCTTCAGCGAGTGGCTGAGGGCGGGCAGCCACTTGGCATACCCCTCCCCTGAACTGCTGTGGCCCAGTTGCCTACTATTTTCCCCAGGGGCAGGCCCCCCTCCATCCCACCTCCAGGCTCCCCCACCTCCCTGTCCTAGCTTTTTGAGCCACAACAGGTTGTGGATTGATACCACTCAGGCCACCAGAAGTGGGGATGGGGTGGACATGTGCGTCAGAAATCCACAATTCTGCCTAAGTGCGCTGACCCTGGATTCATGGAATCTGGGGGAGTGGACAGTGGCATCGATGTTTGGACTAGGGAGTTCCACTGGGACAGGGTTAGGGAACATGCAGGCCAGGTTAATTTTTAGTCAGCACAGCAAATACTATCGTCCTCCCCCCTACCCCCCCTTACTTCAGTACTAGGAATCCAGTCGTGTCATGGAAACAGGGCCTTCTCAGAATTTCTGTGTCTCTCTGGGAGGGAGGAAGGAGGGGCATAGCTAAATATGATTTCTTTTTTTTTTTTAGTATTGGGAAAGTGAGAATTATTGTTGCCTTGGGTATCAGGAGTCTTTCTGTTTAAAGGCATAGGAGCTGTAGAGATAAATCTCTCCTCCTTCCCTTCCACCCAGTCTACGGTAGGACCTGCCTCCCAGGGTGGGATGTCTAGTGTGGAGTGAGAGCTCAATAAAGTGGAGCAGTGACGAAGATGGCGATGAAGAAGACGCTAAATGGATTTAACTTCGAGCTTAAATCCCCCTCTGAGGTTGGGATTTTGGGGGTCAGTAGGCAATGGAATAAAGCTGGGGGACATGCAGAGGAGTTGAGAGGTAGGGGGGACTTTGATGCCTTTTCCTGCAGTAAACACGGGAGGAACAGGCCAGCTGTCCTTGTCTCTGACTCTTGAGGCCAGCAGTGTGTCACAACAGTGAGGGAGACATCCCTTGAGCCAGAACTTCAAGAAAGGGTCTGGTACCCAACATGGTGGCCTTGACTTCTCCATCCAGAGCCCAGGGGAAGAAGGAAAAGGCCTTCCAGGGCAGGTGGGCGACCTTCCGGGTCATGCCTGGAACCACCCATCTCACAGTCTCACCTCACCCTGGGTGTCTTGAGTGGGGCAGGGTCTAGAGTTGAGGAATCATGGGGATGAAATCAGGCAGCAAGAAAGCGGAAATCCTCTAGCTTTGACCATGAACTTTGCAGCCAGTAGTGCCAAAGCTGTGAAGCCTCTTTTTTCTCTGGGTGCCTTCCCTTCCTCTGCTGCTGGAGCAAAATCCAAGGTTTCCCCTGTGGCTGCGTGTCTTTGGCCTCACTCTAAGCAGGGGCTGGAGGAGATGACATAATCTACTTCGGAAACCCCATCTCCCAGGCAGGCCTTTTGGAATTCAGGAGGCCAGATCTTTCAGGGGGCTAGGTCTGACTCCAGCCCCTGCTCAGAGGGGAGCCCACCAGGACTGGGGTTTTCCAGATGGCACCACGGTGAGCAGCACCACGTGGCCAGTGTTGGAGGTGGGATAGTTCGGTTCACATTTTTGCAGAGACTCAATGCTGTGACACTCACCCTCCCAAGCCAGGTGCCTTGGGGTGGGAACTTGGTGTGCTGGACAAGGAAAAGTTACAGATTAAATGGAAAGTCAACAAGCGAGGGTATAGCCAGGGTGCCCTGCCCTAGATCTGTGTCTGCCCAGGCTGGGTCAGAGTGCCCGAGTGCATGTAGGTGTGCACAAGTGCGTGTCTGGACATGTGATTGTTTGTATATGTTTGTAATTCTTGGGTCCCAGCCTCTCTGTGTCTGAGTGGACAGATATGGATATAGTCCAGGTACCTATGTCCCCATGAGAGACACTAAGGAGCTGCTGTCCTTGTCTTGGTGTGTTCTTCTCTAAGCTTACACACAAGCTAGGCACACATGTGCTAGGTGATGGGGACACAAAAATGGGGAGACCAGGCATGCTGCCTGCTCATCTTCCCCAGGTAACCTCTATGTGACACGGGGCTCTCCCAACACAAGGACGTAAGCTATGCTTCTAGGCTCCATGCAGCCCCAGACTTCAGTGAGTAGACCCAGTTGTCCTGAATGAGACCGCTCCAGTTAAGGTATACACATTTTCAAATATCCACTAGTAATCCCTCAAGCGTTGGTCATTTGCAGACTTCGACTCATAGAACTTCATTGGAAAGCCTGGTTGCAGTTGAACTTCTACTCCAGATGTCTCTAGATTCTTGAGGCCTCCACCCCTCGGACGCTCCACATCTTAGTACTGTGGGGCTCTCTGCCTCCTGAGACAGCCCCATTCATAGAAAACTCTGTTCTTGAACCCAAGAACATTCTGCCCATTTACTACCAAGGGGAATAAGTGTCATTGCAAAGTAGCCCTTTTCTTTATGGCTGTGAAAACACACTCAAAGGAAAGACCGTAAAACCTTTCCAGGTTAGAAGGGCACTTGAGTTGGTGTTACAAGTGAGTCCTCTGGGCTGTCCTTGGGATGTTAAGTGTGCTGAAGAACGGGGTATATCTCTGCTCTATTTATTTCTTCCCTCCGATTCCTCTTTCTAAGCCAGCCCGCTACTCGTGACAGAGCCTTCTTTCCATCCTTGATGACTCAATTTTATAAATAACCCGTTTGAGTCTTGACAAAGACTTTCTGGGGGTCTCGATTCTCCCTGGCTTGGTTTTCCTTTATCTGCGTGTGTCTCCCCATACTCCCAGGTCTAGGAGAATAAAGAGAGCGCTAACCTCCGCCCCACTTCTACCCCCAACTCACTCTGGCCAGGCAGAAAAATACCATTTGACCCAGAGGCAGCTCTGGGACCACTGCCATACTTGGAGGAACCTGCTAACTCCTCAGGAAAAAAAGAAACCCTGACACAAACCAGATGCAGCCTTCTGTCTGGCCGCCAACATCTGGAATGCTGGCAGTGTGAGCTGCTAAGCCGAGCGTTTCAGAGGAGGCTCTGATATGCAACCCCTTCCTCCAGCTCAGCCCTGGAGCCTGGATTTGGCTGCCTGGAGGGAGAAGCAGCAGTTGCAATTGTGTTTTTCTTGAGTTCAGATAGAGCCTTTAGGACATCGCAGGCCCAGCCTTTCTACCCCCATCTCCAGATCCCCAGTGCCCTGACTCTGGGCAACAAACATGGACTTTGGAGGGGGGTCTGAAGTCTAAGGGTAGGGGACTCAAGGGATGTGGAAGGTATATTCTTGGTCCTAGGGCCACATAGAGCATTACCCAAGTATGCACACACTTACTTGACACATGCAGGCATACACACACACACACACTTTTCTCCTGTCCAGCCAATGGGGAGAGCTTGTTGGGTTGGATTTCTCATCACTCATGGAAACTTTGATTTTGGCCATTTGGAAGAGGGTCAGCAGGGTTGGCAGCCCTGGGGATCCTGAGGCTGGCTCAGCCAGACGCTGAAAAGAACAGGAAAGGAGGCAGGAAGAGAGAGCAGATGGAGAAGGGGGGTGGTAGGAGGAGGTGACTAGGAGAAAAGATCCGGTGGGGGACCCCCCTGCCTGCCTCAGACCTCTCAGCAGAGCCCAGGGGAACTTCCCGACTGGGCAGCTGCAGCTGGTGACTCATCTGAGGGCTGGACTGGGTGGGGTGAGGGGCAAGTCAAGGACTTCAAGAAGAATAGTCTTCTGAGGAGTTCCAGGGGAGTGGGAAGGAGACAGGGGTGCTGTTTTGACTTTTTCCTACTCCTAGACACCCCTCCCCCCGCCTCCATGCTGCCCATGTCAAGCTGGTGAGCCCCCAAGAGGCAGAAAGCAGGGGGAGGCTGGGTCAGTGTGCTGCTCTGTCTTTTCCCCATGCTGACCTCTTCCCATCTTGGCCTGATTGCAGAGAAGGATGAAGGTGACCACCCCAACAACAGCTTCAGCCCCTGCAGTGCCCATGACCGCAAGTGCCTGCAGAAGCACTTCGCCAAGATTCGAGACCGGAACACCAATGGGGGCAAGATGAAGGTCATCGGGGCACCCCGGGAGGAAGTCCGGCCTGTGGTGAGGACCTCTGACCTCAAGTGCACATGTTCACAGACACACACCACCACCACCACCACCACCACCACATCTGGCCTATGTTCTTTGGATGCCTATGGTGTATAATATACATTGTCAGGAACTAGAGTCCTCATTCCTTTCCTTAAAATTCCATTCCTGCTTGGTAGTTCTCTATATTGGCACAGCCAAAGTGATTTTTAAATACTGAAATACTTATCCTAATTGGTAACTCATGGTTGCCCCAAGCTTCCTGATATACCTTGGCCTTCTCTTGGATTCCCCACCCCAGACCCTCTCAATCTCTAAAAGGTTAATGCTGGCCATAGCAAGGGGTCATGGGACCCTGTTCCGGAGTCCGGCAAATGTCCTTTCTGACGGATGGTTCCGATGGCTCCGTGCCTGGATCTTACAAGTTGTTGATAGCATGATTTTATTCATCCCTCCTGCTTAGACATCACCCCCTTCCGGTCCTTCTCCATAGGTCTCTACAGCTCCTTTCCCACAGGGTTCCTTCACCTCACACCTCTCCTTTTTAGAAGCTCTTTGGCCCGAGAGCCTATCATCTGTGTCCTTCTGCTCTTCCCACCAGTGTCTTCAGAACCCATGCCGCGCCCTTCACCTCACTGGGCCCTGACCCTGACCTTTGGGCTTTGACCCTCCTTTCAAAGTCTTCAGTCCTGAGGTGACCCCCGTCTCTGGTTCTCCTGTCCCTCTTCTCTTCTGCGGAGCAGTTTCATCCTCTCTCTCTCCTCCAGCCCCAGGGCGCCTGCCAGAGCGAGCTGCACCGGGCCCTGGAGCGGCTGGCCGCCTCCCAGAGCCGCACCCACGAGGACCTGTACATCATCCCCATCCCCAACTGCGACCGCAACGGCAACTTCCACCCCAAGCAGGTGGGTCACCCTCTGCTCCTCTGGGCCCTGGCCTCAGCTCCAGGGGCACCAGACAGGGTCATCCGGGATAGATGTCTCCGGAAGGGGGAGGCTCCCCAACCCCTCGGATCCTCCCCAAACCCTCCCCTCAGCTTTAGGACCTCAGTTCACTTTGCCCACATCACTCATTTTGGGATGAGGAGACTGAGGCCCAAATTCACAGAGCAAGTTAATGGCAGATAGACTCTCCTGCTTCCCCATCCAGGACTATTTTCTCCTCTTGATTCACAATCTGAGACATTTACCTGGTACTCCTGCCAACCTCTGCCTCCCATCACCTTCTCACTCATCCTAATCCCTTCCTATGAGTAGTTCTCCCCTAGAAATGGAGGAACTAAGTCACGAGGGGTTAAGGAGGAAACAGCCTGACCCTTACCCCAAGCTGAGCAGCCAAACCACTTGGGGTACAGCCAGGATGGAGGTGATGCCAGATCTGACAGCTGGAGTTAGGGCTTCGGGTAGAAGCAGAGGAAGGAGGTAGGCAGAAGAGAAGATGGGAGTGTAGAAACCTCTGTGCTCCTCATACCCTTGGTGTTCAAGAAGACTGGCCTGCTCCAGCCCCATCTCTGGCCTGTCAAGAGTTGGGCCCACATGAAAGGGTTACATATCTGGGCAGAGCACTGGGGTGCCTCGTGTTGGGTGTTAGTTCCTCCAGGCTCCAGGTCAGCTCTGCTCCTGGCAGAACTAATACTGATACATTATAGTAACTAAAGTCCATAGTTTACATTAGCTTTCATTCTTTGTGTTGACAGTTCTATGGGGTTTCTTCCCCCAATTATTTTTTTCTACTGAAAGGTCTGACCCTTGATCCTTGACCCCCCAGACTAAATCTGACCCTTGAGACGACCTTCAGGATTAGAGCTGGCGTGTAATATGTAATGAGTCCTGCTGGTGATCTCGTGGCTCTGACTACAAATGGAAGGGAACGGGGAGAGGGGAGCAGGGGAGAGGGTCCTAGGAAGGCCTGCAGACAGAGGGCTGGGGTGGTGGGGCCCCTGTCGGAGCAGTGAGGGAGGGAGGGAAGAATGTGTAATCCTGACTTTAATCCTGACTCTTAAATACACCTTTGCCCCCTGCCTTCCCTATCCACCTTTCCCTCTCCCCTTCCTGTTCTAATCCCAACCCAACCTTGAGCCCAACTGCTTTAGTTGTTCTAACTTTGACCTCTATCTTTATCCCAACTCTGTTTCTGACCTGGACTCTGAGTCTCACCTAACTCAATTTTAGTCATAATTCCCAATTCAACTGCAATTCTCTATCCTGATGGTACCATAACTTCAACTTGGATCCCGCTATTACCCATAATCTCATTCCTTTAAAAAAACAACAACACATTTTTATTGATTTCAGAAAGGAAGGAGAGGAGAGAGAAATAGAAACATCAATGATGAGAGAGAATCATTGATTGGCTGTCTCCTGCACGCCCCCATCAGGGATGGAGCCTGCAACCTGGGCATGTGCCTTGACCAGGAATTGAACCCTGTGACTTCCGGGTTTATAGGTTGATGCTCAACCACTGAACCATGCCAGCAACGCTTTAATCTCATTCTTAAAAGTCCCAAACTAATGAGAACACACTCAAAACATCTCCAGCTTCTCCTCTAAATCCTATGGATCCAATTTCCCCCTAGGAAGGCTACAGAACTTCCTCAGGGCCCTGCCTTTTAAAACTCTCTGGACCTTTCCTTCTTGGCCGAGTTCTCACTCTGCTTCAGTGAGCTCAGAAGATTTGTACTCACGAGAGAGCCTCTGGCCTCAGGGGCTGTCATGGAGCAATTGTCTGATTTGGGGACCTGGCTGGGATTGGGGTTCAGCTGACTGACCTCTCATGCTCTTGTCTTGACAGTGCCACCCCGCCCTGGATGGGCAGCGTGGCAAGTGCTGGTGTGTGGACCGGAAGACAGGAGTGAAGCTTCCGGGGGGCCTGGAGCCGAAGGAGGAGCTGGACTGCCACCAGTTGGCTGACAGCTTCAACGAGTGAGCCCTACCAGCAGGCAGGGGGCTCCCTGCCCCCTGCTCCCCCTCCCCCTGGAGGCTGCAGAGCTGACCTGGAGCCTGGATCTGAGTCCTGGCTCTGCCTCTGGCCCAGAAGTTTTCCTCGGCATGTGTGGTGTGTGTGTGCGTTGATGAGCATGGATGTACCCTTGGGGTGAGCCGGAGCCTAGGGGTGTCCTCTTGGGGCTTAGGTAGCCTAAGAGGTCAGAGTGGCAATGGGGAGCCCTGGTGTGTTTCCAAATTGACCCTGGATTCATTCATTCTTTTATTCATTCAAGTCATCTAAAAACATTTACTGGCTACACATTACACGCCAGCTCTAGATCTCAGCCCGGGGTGGGGGAGCGCTAATTCTGACTTCCTCTGATGTGGACAAGGTGGACACAAGTCTGTGGGAGAAGAGAAGTTCCATGTCCATCATCTGAGGAGGAAGGTCGACATGTACCTTGACGTTGTCCCTCCCTCAATCTAGGGGTAGAGAGGAGGCCACAGGGAAGGCGTGGGGTAGCAGATGGCTCAGTGGCCAGGAGACCAGACCTACTCCCAAAGCTAAGGGCTGCCAGGCTCCTCTCCTCTTCATCCCCAGGCCCTCCAAGGGCAAGGACCCGCAGAGACAAGCCTGCTTTGGGGCTGGGGGAGTGCCATCTGCTTGATTGCCTGGCAGCGGAATCCTTGCTGTGGAGCGTGGGAGAGGGTCCTAGGAAGGCCTGCAGACAGAGGGCTGGGGTGGTGGGGCCCCTGTCGGAGCAGTGAGGGAGGGAGGGAAGAATGTGTAATTGGAATGTGTGTGCGTGATGGAGGAAAGGACCAGCGTAAAGGGATTGGGCGGGAGTGAGGGACTTGCCTGGGGTCCCGTTCCCTTCCATTTGTAGTCAGAGCCACGAGATCACCAGCAGGACTCCATCTTGCTCACAGCCTGCGCCTCTGCCTCCTGCTCCACACCCCCTTCCCTACAGCTCCCGCACCTGTACCCTGCCCGCTGGGCATTTTCTGGCTTGCTGGATGGAAGGAGACTTAGGGACCTACCAGTTGGCCATGATGTCTTTTCTTTCTTTCTTTTTTTTTTTTTAACAAAACAAAACAAAACAAAAAACAATACAATTGTGTTTTGCTTATTTATTTAAATTAGAGACAGAGTATACCAGGGAAGGGGGGTCTATCCTACATAGTAGAAGGACTCAGCCAATTCACCAGCCTCTCCCTGCAGCCTTTTCCGGAGGGGCCTCTCTATCCCCCAAGTCTGTGCTGTTGGTGTTCCTACTCCTGGTGGGGAATTACTGGCTTCCAAACGGAGGGAGGGAGCCGGACAGCCCTGCTGGGCCAGAGCTGTTCCTGGGAGCAGCTGGTGTGTGAGGCTGGGGCATTTCCTAGGGCAGTGGTCGGCAAACTCATTAGTCCACAGAGCCAAATATCAACAGTGCAACGATTGACATTTCTCTTGAGAGCCACATTTTTAAAACTTAAACTTCTAATGTCACTTCTTCAAAATAGCCCAGGCCGTGTTATTTTGTAGAAGAGCCACATTCAAGGGGCCAAAGAGCCGCAGTTTGCTGACCGCGGTCCTAGGGCATCAGGCAGGTTGGGCTTGCATCTGAATTTGATTTATTAATTTGGGGGCCGGGAGGCACTGCCCTGAAGCCTGGGAAAGGGGTAAACTTTCCACCACATTCCACAGCTCTGCGTGCTTGGATTCCTGATTGGGGGCTGTGCTGAGATTTGATTCTGATGGGTCGAGGGGTCGGGCATCTTTGATCTTGCTGTCCTGGGCACACCAGGCTGTGGACCTTTGGTGGCAGCCCCCAAATTTGTGCCCACAGGGTACGATTGGATTCCTGGTCATTTCCTAATGTCCCTTCTCTCCCGGACCTCTGTGCCAGGCACTGATGCCTTGGGTGAAGGTCCCTTTTTGGGAGTTCACAGGCAGCCTGGGGACCCTGTGCACCGAGCTACTGCACTCTGGGGGAGCACCCTCCTGTCTGACCTGGTCTCTGGGGGAGCACCCACCTGTGTGGCCAGTTCCTGGATTCCTAGGGTCTCCCCAGTTCCAGAGGTGCTGCCAGCCCTCTCGATTTCATTGGCCTCTGATATGTGGGAACCTGTGCTGCCTGCATTTTGAGTCTGGGGCTGCAGTCCTCCCCCATCTCTAGCTCAGCCATCTAGTCTCCCTGAGGTACCATTGGCCTCTGGCAGCAGGAGATAACGAATAAAGATGGAAATTTCTTTTGAGAGCCACATTTTTTAAACTTAAACTTCTAACTGCCACTTCTTCAACATAGACCTGCCCAAGGCCGTGGTATTTTGTGGAAGAGCCACACTCAAGGGGCCAGAGAGCCGCAGTTTGCGGACCATGGCTCTAGGCCATAGGTGCCGAGCCACATCACGCGTTTGGTTTCCATTTCCCAGCTCATTAGTGGCGATCCAGCCCTGATGTCGGCTGGAGGTTGGGGGCTGAGTTGGCTGGAGGTTGGGGGCTGAGTTTTCCGTTGGCAAGAAGGCAGGGTGGGAGCAGAAAGAAAACACGGAGCCCTGGACAGACTCTGGCATTGGATTCAGGTGGGGAACTCTCTGGAGAGCTGGCCAAGCCTCCCGGCCCCTCCTCCTCTCAGGGCCCCAAGGTTCCAGCACTGCCAAGGCTCCCACTCCTTCCAGGAAAAGGCTGCTCCGACCAGACCAGCCTCTCCTCTTCCTGGGGCCAGATTCCCCCAAGCTGCTCCAGGAATGTTCTGAAGCATGCAGGACTTGGAGCGCCTGCTTGCCCCCGCCCCGTCCTGAGGGAGTGGGGGAGACGGGGAGAGGGGAAAGGGGGAGATGGCTGTATGGTAAAGGACCCTGGAGCATTTCCAGCCAGAGAAACGCCCCCCTGCATTCTAGACCCCTATGTCAATGTCACCTCTGACCTAAAGAACGTCAAGAGGATGTGGTTGGATGGAGCTGGGAGGTGGGCTGGCGGCTGGAATGTTGGGTGGTCCCAGGGAAGAGGGGCGGAGAGGGGCCCAACTTGTGAGTCAGGGGGCAGGGTCAGGGGGGAGAGGGAGTTAATGGAAACAGTAAGTAGAGGAGAGACAATGGGGCACTTTTGGGCACACCCCCGGGGAGCAGACGCCACTCCAGCCAGCCAAGGGTCTAATTAGATCTTCACTGTCAGGGTGACCTAACCCTTCTCTGCCTGAGGCCCCAGGGCTGGGGAGGGTTGGGGTCAGGGAGTAGGGGAGTGTGTGCGCTACAGATAATTGGAAACATGCTCTCTGGAGCCAGTAGGCACCACCAGGACTGCCTCTGTCCTCACTGCCCCCCTCTTCCTCCCCCAGATCTCTAATCCCCTTCCCCACAACCTAGCTGATTCCAGCCAGGGAAGGGGAGGGGCTGGAGGGGTCTGGGAGGAGAAACCCGGTGGGGATGGCTTCCCAGGCCCTTACACACTCTCTGAAGTGCAAACAACATATTTTCACCATGCAATGGGATTTAATTACACACAAAAACAGAGCCATTAAACTGAAATTAAACCCGTCTTGGAACCACTTAATTCAGGGCATGACAAATTGCTTTCAGCAGAGGCAGCAGTGAAGGCCCCTCAGGCAGAAACGGAGATCAGCCGCTTCCACAGCTGGCGCGGAGAGGGTGGTATAGGGGTGTGGGGACGGTTGGGGGTGGGGTGGGGGAGGCGCGCTGTTCTCCTGGCCCCCTTGCCAGCTCTAAATTCTAAAATTGGGGTCAGAATCTTCTTTGTAAAGCCCACCCAGGCCAAAGGGAAATCTCTAAGTTTGTTTAGGATAAGAAAAACCCACTTTTATTTTATTTAAAAAAAATATTTTTATTGATTTCAGAGAGGAAGGGAGAGGGGAGAGAGAGAGAAACATCAGTGATGAGAGAGAATCACGGACTGGCTGACTCCTGCATGCCCCACATGGGATGGAGCCGGAAACCCAGGGTCAATTACCTGGAATGGAACCGTGACATCTTGGTTCATAAGTTGCCGCCTAATCACCAAGCCACACCCGCACCAGCTGTGCTGTTCAGCCCACTTTTGGACAACTCAGTCCGTCTCATCGATGGGGAGGTTGAGGCCCAGATGTCAAGGTCATGGAGAGCCAGGATTCGAACTCTGGCGCTCAGCCAGGACCAGGGAGGCTCTTACTTTCAGGTGTGTATCCTTTCCCTGGGGCCCAGAGACCGAGCATGGGCCTGGGAGGGCAGGGGTTGGGGAATTGGAACAGGGAGGGTAGATTTCTCCAGAACTGGGCTCCCACCTGGTCCAAGCTTGGAAATAGCAGAAAAGGCAAGATGGGGGCCCTGGGACATGGGGCTGCCGAGGCAGCCTTGGCTTCTTGGAGGTCAGCCTGGGGCTCAGACCCTGGCGTCACACCTGCTGGGTGTGATTGCTAACCAGCTGGGTGAGGTTGGGCAGGTAAGACTCTCCCTGAGGCCAGAGCCTCAGTTTCCCCAGCTGTCAAGTGGGGATGCTCGTTCCTATGTACAGAATGAAGACCAGTGAGCAGAGCATTTGAACAGGGCCTGGGCTGAGGTCAGGAAGTGGTGGTTTGGGACCCCGTTCATAATAAGGTGCTGCTGGGATCTGGTAGTTTCCAGGACCTTCTCTTGCCCGGACGCCCTGTTTGCAGCCCTTCTTCTCCCTCCGCGTTCCTTCAACTTCCCTCTTCTCCTCTGTGGCCTGGACATCTAACTCCCGACAGAAGTCTGGGTCTGTGCTTAGACGTAGGGACAAAAAGGGGCGACATACTAACCCTGACAAGCTCAGGGGAGGCCCGCAAGGCAGCCTTACAAACTGTGACAGAAAGTCACCACAGAGGACGGCCCGAAATGAGAATGTCCTAACTAAAAGCCGGTCATGGAGGGGAGTCATGTCCTAGGCCGGTATTTGTCCCGAAGGAAGATCGGTCTTGACCTTAATTGAGCCTATTGTCTTTTCTTAATTTACATAGTTTGTATCTACATACTTTGTATAACACACCTGATAACATGCCTTTGGAATATCAAAGTAATTTCCTTTTCTTCCGACCTCTCAATGCACAACCTTGGCACCTGAGCGAAGACCACCAGTCCCCTCATTGCTACTATTGTTGTGAGAAACATGCCTCTTCCTAGGACATACGGATGGACGTACTGCTCATACCCTCCACACCCCACATCCTGTTTGCTCTGGGGAAATTCAGTAATGGCCTGGCCACGTGCTGCTTCTAGGAAGATTCCCCTAGACCAGTGGTCGGCAAACTGTGGCTCGCGGGTCGGTTTGTTGCTCCATTTTTCTAATGAGTTTGCCGACCACTGACCTAGTCTCTGGATTCCAATGATTATAGGCCATTGTTGTTCCTTGTGATTAAGCCCCCATGCCAGGGGTCGGCAAACTCATTAGTCAACAGAGCAGCAAACCACGGCTCGGGAGCTGCAGTTTGCCAACCACTGTCCTTGAGAAAGGGACATAGAAGCAACCAGAGAAGGCCCTAGCCCATTTTTGTTTTTAAGTAACCCAATGGGAGACAGCAGGACCAAGGCAACCTATTAGGAAACAGATGACCAAATAGTCCTCAGCCAATGAGGAACCGGAGGCGGGTCTAAACAAATAGGCTGCACTCCTTGCCCGCCTGTGTTCCTGTAAAATGGGCGCCCGCTCTGCAGAGTGTTACTAAAAGTCTCATTTCGCCATGCTTCTGTTCCCTAGGCCGTCGTTTGAAATTTGGAGAGGTGAGCCATTTCTCACGTTAATTGTCCGTGTTCACTATCCTATACCCGCCTATGTAAAAGGAGGGTCTGTTTGTTTTATTTTTTTAATCCAATCCCGAAGATTCCACATCCAGTCCCCCTTGCTTTGCTTTTGCTTTTCTGCAATTGCCATCAGTTTGGCTCAAATATACTAAAAAAACAACAACCCCAAAACCCACAAACAAACAAACACCTCTCAAAAATTCTTACAGCTTTGGATGTTTCTTATTGGGTAGGAAAAGGCAGGCCCACGCTGGTGGCTGTGCATGAGGCCCGCATGTGGGAGGCCCATCTGAGAGGTGAAAGGTGACCAAGTGGAAGGGGTTGCACTCGGGGGAGGGCTTTGGGGGTGCCCTTGAGGCTGTGGC